TAATGATAAGGCATGAGAGGAATGGGGGTAAAGGCAGTAGAATAAGGGAGTGACATGTCTTGAGTTTAATCGTTTTGTATAGTTTTTTACTTTTACAAGCATTCTAATGTCCTACATATTCAAAAATTAAATTAACAAGGATGGGAGGAAAGAACCTAAAACTAAGAGCAACTGTGGAAAAAGAAAACCAGTGGCATTTAGATGAATACTACAACTACATTGAAGGGGAAAAAATAACAAATCCAAGTGACATCAACACAGTATTTCTAAACATTTAGTCTTTGGTTGAGAGGGAGAATTGCAAACAAATCTTTAACTCTTTGTTTAGTAGCCTTGTCTTTTTCAGTGATATATACAGACAATTCTGAAACAATTTTAGATGTATTGTAGGGTTGAGCAATCTGATTATAACGTTGAGAGCCAAGGTTCTCACTGGGGAAGGCAAAAAAGAACCCTGTAAGAATGAACTAGAATTGTGGGTACTGGTGTGGACTCACGATGTCTAAAATATGTATGTGTATATCATTCAAAAGTTATTCCCAGCTCTGTCTGCCAGAAGGGCTCAGCTCCCCATAGGTTGTTTCCCAGTAGCAGTGAACAAAGACGCTTCAGTAGCAATGAGCACATGTAGCGTTCAAATATTCACCTCCAGTAGATCTCCTGCTGAAAGAAACTTCTGCAGAGTGGGGTCAAGGTAGTTGCAAGATGAGCTTGCATTATCTTATTATGCCAGAAATCTAGGAAGTGCTCAAAAAAAATGACATGGCGTGTTACAAGGACACAGTCCCAGCCTGAAGCAGTTCCCACTTGCCACATCTGGGTGGGACAGTTTGAGTGCCGAAACAATAGGCCTGGCAATAAATATAGGCCATTGAAAAATGAGAGCTCAGGAATCCTTGTCAATAATAAGCAGGTAAATGTACTAACTGCAAAAAAGAAGAGTACTTGCTTACAGTAGACTGAGTAGCAACTGATAACTGCAGGGAAGGATGATGCTGGCAACCATCATAGTGAAGACTGGGTCAGCCAGGCATCCTCGTTAGCATTGTGGCCCAGTGGGATAAGCTCCAACTCCAGCATCCCACATTAGAGTGCTGATTTGACTCCTGGCTGTTTTGCTTTCCATCCAGCTTCCTGCTAATGTGCCTGAGAAAGCAATGGAAAATGGTCCAAGTACTTGGGCCTCTACCATCCATATGGGAAACCCAGATGGAGTTCCAGGCTTCTGGCTTCTGGCCATTTGGGGAGTGAGCCAGCAGACAGAAGATCTCTCTGTCTCTCCCTCTCTCCTTCTCACTCTGTCTTTCAAAAAATGCAAGGAAATATGACTCTACCTTTCAAACAAATAAATAAATAGTTTTATTTAAAAAAAATAATCCTCATTGGATGTGAAAAAAAATAAATACAGGGAAGCTTAATCAGGAACAGTATATTTGCTCCCCTGTGGCTTACCAGTTGCAAAGGAAAATATAGTTACTATACAGTGGGAAAATCAGAAAACTAGGTGTTCAAAATTAATTTCACCAATGAGGGACAAATAAATATTGTGTGCTTCTAGCTGTGATACTCTGAGGAGGACACAGTAGTATTTTGGTCAGGAATGCATGCATGTCTCAAACCTTTAAGAAAAGCATCAGACAAAACCGAACTGAGGGGAGAAAGAAGAGGGAACATACAAGTTGTTCAACAATGTCAGTGTCATAGAAGAAAGAGAAAGGCTGTGGAAAAATTCAAGAGTAAAAGAGACTAAAGAGACAAGACAACTAATCCTAAACTGCGTCATCTAGTGGAACAACAACAACAGCAAGCTACAAAGAACATTATCAGGTCAATTTATAACATTGGAATATGTATAGTATCAATATTAAATTAACTGCAGTTGAAAACTGTACTGTGATTATGCAAGAACATATCCCTAATTCTTAGAAACACTGAGGTGTTGGGGATAAATGGCTATGACAAATACCATTTACTCTCAAGGGACTCGGAAAAGAAATGGCATGGATGTGTTTGGGGGGAAGGGAGGGTCTGAGCAAGAGAATACAAATGGTGTTTATGGATGGTGGGTAGATCCCGTATAAAGTATACTGTGCCTGTTCTTTATATTGTACTTGTGCCTGCAACTTTCTGGTAGGTTTGAAATTGCTTCCCAATGAAGATTAAAAATAAAGAATTATTAGTAATGTCTAGTGATGATTGAGTATTCTGCATCCTTGGGAGAGAATCTGTTGACATTTAGTAAGAGTATTGTCTGTGGAGAACCAGGCTAGGAGGACTGATTTACTTTAAAAGAAAAAAAGATTTATTTATTTATTTATTTATTTATTGAAAGAGTAACAAAGGCAGAGGTAGAGAGAGAGAAAGAGAGAGGTTCTTCCATCTGCTGGTTCACTCTCCAAGTGGCTGCAACGACTGGAGCTGCGCCTGCGTCAATCCAAAGCCAGAAGCCAGGAGATTCTGCTGGGTCTCCCACACAGGTGCAGGAGCCCAAGGACTTGGGCCATCTTCCACTGTTTTCCCAGGCCTAGCAGGGAGCTGGGTCAGAAGTGAAGCAGCTAGGACTTGAACCAGTGCCCATATGGGATGCCGGCACTGTAGGCAGCATCTTTACCTGCTACACCACAGTGTCAGCTCCTGATTTACTTTTGAAAACCATAGTCTGGAAATCAAAGTATCATGTTGATAAATTGGCCTGCTGGTTTTTTTGGCCCCTTATTCTCATACTGGTCAATGGAATCCAGTAAAACTGTGCCTCCAATTAAGCTTAGTTAAGTTCTCCTTTACTCTATGACCCTCTCTCTCAGGAGGCCATGGGACCTGGCATAGGCTGCCCTACAACACAGCAGAAAGCAATACAGACCTAGAATGATTGACCTTGAGAGTTATGTAACTTCCTAGAATTGAATCAATTAAGTAGCTTGTCATTCCAGAGCACTTGGGCTCAGTACTGTCATTAAGAGGCCTGGCAGGAAGATAAAAATGGCAGTCCTTGGAGCTAAGCCATGAACTGCCTTCCATGTGCATTAGTGATTTATCCAGGTGTCGTTAGCCAGTGAGACATGATGCTCTTAGCAAAACTCATAATACTGAAAATACTGATGCCATTCGTTCCATACCAGAAATTAGGAATTCACAAACAGAGAGGGTAGTTTCACTACATGCCTGTACATGTCCTCATCTGCAAAGTGGTACCTAAAATCAGAGCACTGGTTCATGTCCTGGCTGCTACACTTTCAATCCAGCTCCCTGCTAATGCACCTGGGAAAGGAGTGGAGAATGGCCCAAGTGCTTGGGCTCCTACCACCCACGTGGGAGACCTGGCTGGAGTTTCCGGTTCCTGGCTTCTGCTTGGCCCAGCACTGACCACTGTGGCTATTTAGGGTATGAACCAGTGGATGGAGAAATTCTGTCTTTCCCTGTCTCTCCTTCTCTCTCTGTAACTCTGTTTTTCAAATAAATAAAATAAATCTTTAAAAAATAAATAAAGCAGAACTCTGTGAGTTCTTGGATTGGCAGAAGGAAAGATGATAGATATCTTCTCAGTTGCCAGCTAAAATAGGCATGACCTAGACGAGACGCGAGATGGCCCTTTGGAGCTTGCTGGCTCAGACCAACCTGCCTGTCACTTTATCTCTCCCTCCTTCTGTCGTCTTTGACATCTTCTTCTTGGCTGAAGTGTAGAAACTTTTCTCAGCTTTATGTTTGGAAGCATTGCTAACTTCCATCCAGCCTGAGTGAGTTGCTAATACGATTCTAAGGGAATGGATGGAAGTGGAGACTGGACCGAACAGGACAAGGCCCACGCTGCCTGTTTGCCCAGCTGCATGATACATACAGACGTGGGAGGAAGGTGTGCTAGCGCCCAGGCCTCTCAGCTTTTGTTCTGCAGAGCGGCAGCTGTCTCCAGCAGTTAGTGCCTCATGGGAAGGGAGAAGTTGGGGTATGTGTTGCGTCAGGAATGACTTACAGGAGTGTGAGGGCCCTCCTTCCACGCAGGGGTGCGAGTCTGGGACTGTGCCTCCGGGAACTCAGAGGGGAAGGATTCGTCCCGTGTTTGAAATGCTGTGCTCTCTTCATGGGAGGGGTTTTCCTCAGTACCGCTTTTGGAGATGTGTTAGAATAATGCCTGAGGCAGACACTGGCTGGGTAGGGAAACCTTAGACAAAAGTTAGTTGGTTTCTCCAAGTCAGAATCCCCCAGTGTCGGAACTCAGCATAGCTCGGCAAGCTCTCATTGTCTCCTTTGCATCCAGTCTCTGTGACGCTCATCCTCCCTACTCCAGACTCTGTATCCTCAGTTAGGAATTAAGCCAGTTTCTCAGTCTTGACTTACGGTGGCCTTGGTTTCCATCTGCTCAGCTTGTGTCCTCATGGTTGCAACACGTGTTGTCACATAAAACGCTCATGATTCGTTTATGCCTTTCTCAATGTTTCTCTGAGCCTGTGTGTCCTGTTTGCATCTAGGCGTGCATGTGTATGTGTCTGTGTAAACTGAGTAACTGGGACAAAGTCAGTTCAGTAAGATAAGGAACTGGTACTTGAACCTAGACCTTTTAACCTCTAAGTTCATCCAATTGTGTGTGTGGCAATGAACTGCATCCACCCTCATTTATTCATTGTTGACTGCTGAGCTCTTAGCATGGTGGTTGGCACATGGAAGGCATTTGCTAAGTATTTATTAAATAAGTGAATGATTATTATGATAGTCTTGTGTTTTGATTCAGTCCAGCATTAGTTTCCTTACAGCCTGCCCTTGAGATCCAACTGTTGGCATGTAGTCCTAGCAGTGTTACTATTTTATGGCAGAAATGACTCTACCTTCTAACCTTTACTTGTTTACTTGCTCTGTTGCAAAACAGTCTGTAGCCATTCTTCATATATATATTGTTATTTCTGTTTTTAAATCTACTAGCTCATTGTGAAGGATGAAGGGGTTTTCTGGGATACTGATTAGTCTTGCCTGTCTGATTAATCCCTGGATGGGGCTTGGATGTTTTACAGCTTTTAGATCTCTTCATCCAGTGGGATTGGTCAACCTACCTTGCTGACTATGGTCAACCCAACTGCAAATACCTCCGGGTAAACCCAGTGACAGCCCTGACACTGCTTGAGAAGTGAGTACCCAGTCCAGTGGTCTGTGTTGGAGGGTGGGAAGATGGGGATGGGGGGTATAAAAGGTGACTTTCTCATTGCCAACACCTGGAAAGACATCTTTGCTCTTGAAGTTGCCATAGGCACTACTGGTGGTCTCCATCTGACTTGGCAAGCCAGTCTCCCTCTTGCAGCCTCTTAATTCCTGAGTCCAACCAGCCAGGTATGGGTCAGAATTGGACCTTGACATTACCTTGAAGCGTTTTTAACTAGAGATTACTATAGCAGGAAGGAAGCTGGCTTAGTCTGGGCTCAGGTAAGCAAACCTGGTGAACAGTGAGGTTGGCTCCAGTCATCCAGGGTGTGATGATGGATACAGCAGCCCAGCAGAACAGACGACTCCTCTTGTTCCCAACAGAGAATCCTCAGGAATGATTGAAACCTTCGGCTGCCTCCAACTCCCACCCTGCCATACTGAATCTTATTGGGATCACTGTCCCAAGAAAGCCGTGTTGGAGAAACTGTCTGATTCTTGCCTTTGGCAGTCTCTGGGAAGCAAAGTTTGCCCTGCCACAAGGCTGAAGCTTCTCTAAGCAGAGTTGCTGCCACCAAAGCTGAATTAGGCAGCTCCAGAACATCTGGGGACTAACCAGGATGTCTGTCCCCCAGGAGCTGGGATCTGCCAGGCACTGCAGCCTGGCAGTTGCTAACTAGTTGAGTTCTGGCAGGCCAGAGACCAAGAGCTATGTAAAGGGGCAGCTTTCTCTCGCAACTGGGCCAACTGGTGGGAGAGTGCTCTGTGTCTAGGCAGAGTAGAAGTCTGTGAAGATGACTCAGGTCCTAGGAAGGCAAGGCCCAGAGCCCCAAAGGCCAGGGTAGAGCCTTAAGCAGAAAGAGAAGGCAGGGTATAGCCCACTTTCTGTGTCACGTGCTAGGAAGAGAGAAGGGGTAGAGGTGGAAGGCAGGCAAAAGTAGGATGCATGGGTATGTGTTTGGAATCAAGAGACGAAAACACTCAGCATTTCTCTCCTGACCATGCCAGGGACTGATTTTAACTTTGTTTCCCATGATTCTCTCTCCCAATGACCTTCCTCCTTAGGATATCTAGAGAGTAAGTATATATTCACTTGGGCTTTTTCCATCACTTTGAGGCGAGTCCCGCTGGTTTCCTCATTGACACTAATGACTACACTAAACACCTACCCTGAGTGTTATCTCCACCCTGACCTACTAATCTACTAAACCAGCTACTGCCAACTGGCTGGCTGCCTCCATCCTCGATCCTTAGGGTGACCCTTGACTTACCAATTCCTTTGGGGCTGGGAGTGGTAGCAGGGATTTTTCCCCATCAGTGCCAGGTAAAAGGTTGTTCCTTCTCCGTTTCCTGGCATGCTCAGTATTCAATACCCACGCTAGTGCAGGGCCTGAAATTCAGCCCTGACAGAAAGGGGCTCCACAGCAGACCCTATGGATTTAAGATCTGGAGCCTGTGTCTCCCAGGAGAGATTCTTCATTTAAAGTGAGGCCTAATCCCAGAGTTCTCGCAACCCAGCTGAAGTGGGCAAAATGTTTGACCTTTGAGTTGCTGCTTCCATGGTCATGCTCGCCATCTCTGAAAGGGCTCTCTCAGTAGTCCTTTCCTCTTCTATCCCTGAGACTCTGGATCCAGGAAGTATGGGCTCACCCACTTCCTGTGGGTCAAAAATAGATGAAAATGATCAGCCTCTCTGCCATTCTAGAGACTTCTCCAGTTACAAAGCTATGTGCTTAATCCTAGCCATCACTAGGCTTTCAAAGCTTCCCTCCAAACACAGTAGGGCAAAACCCACCCAGTTCACAAGGTCCACATGTTCCAGCCTCATAGGAACCAATCCCTTTTCCTGGCCCATTCCTGCATCCCCACAGCCAGCCGTACCATGGGAGCTTGACAGCTTTTCCTTTTCAACCTGGTCCTTGGGAGCAGAGTGAAGCATGGAAGGACCTGCTGAGGACATTCAGGGAGACAAGATGAGGCCCCTGTGTCACTGAGAAGAGGCCATAGCTAGAGTAGATCAGGATCCTGGGCTTATATAACGGGGTGGGGCTGAGAAAGGCTCTCTGGTTTGGGGCATCCCTGGGTACAGACCAGCCTTCCACCCTCAGCCTAATCCCACCCCCGGGCCTTCATGGCCAGGAAGTCCTAACCTCCGGGGCTCAGAGACTGCCCATTTCTTCCAGTTCTCCTCCATGGGGGCTGCTTCAAATGGTCATAGAATTAATGACTTTAGGGGACATGAAGCAAACATTCTATGAATGTAGGAAATCTTGCTTTTGTTTCTTCTTTCTTTTCTTTTTAGTCTGTTTTGTGTTGTGACAGAATTGTAGCATAAAAGGAAAGGGTACCGTCCTGAATACTCTAAAGCCAGGCCAGGTCCGCAAACACACGCAGCTGCCCGCTGTGTGAGGGCGCTCAGAGCTGGGGGACCCTGGTTTTTCCTCTCAGCCAAGCCCAGTCAGTCTCCTTCTTCCTCCCCTTCAAGCACGGGCCCCACATGTAGGTTACTGGAATTTATTCCATGTTGTGAGTTTGCCCAAAGAGTAAATCAGGCTGAAGGTCCATGGACTTAGAAGACAAGTCCCTGTTCACTTGTGAGTGCCACTGTCAGCCTGGCCACGTGCCCTCGTGGGATTTATCTAGTTATTTTTTGTCATGCATACTATATATAAGCACCTTTGTGAGACCTCTGGCCTTTTGACTCACTGGCCTCTAATCTACCCTTCTGCAAAGGGCAACCTACAAGAATAATAAAGGTCCAAGATTGGCCAGAGCCGCCTGGGGAGTTTATAGGGTAATTTCTTTCCTGGGGCCGTGTTCCTTCCTTGCCCTCTTCTTTCCTGCCTCTATACAGCCCAGGGAGCAGTGAACTCTGAGAGCTGGCCCAGCTCCCAGGGGATGATAGTGAAGGCAGGCCTATCCCTCTTCCAGGGAGAAGATGGTCTGGGCACTGTTCTTAATTCTTTAAGACCAGAACAATGTGGACTGGGAGTCAGTGTGCAGAGGCCAGGACTAGAGTTAAGGGTCATCAGTAGATGTCAGGGGTTGTGGGCCTCTGTGGGGAATGCAGATTTCTGGAGGGAGTTCTAACAGCTTAGTTGGATGCAGGGGTTCTGTGACAGTCTCAGTCTAGTCTTGACTCTCTTCACCCATGCTTTCCAGTTAACGCTTTCCACCTGACGGCAGAGCCATTGGCCACAGTTGCCCATGGCATGGACTCTGGGTATGTGCCATGGCCATTTTTTGGAGCTTTAACCTGACCTGAAGGTCAGAGGTCTGAGGATGGAGACAAACATGGGGAACTCAGGGCCTTCTCCTGCTGCAAGCCCCGGTTCACAGTCGAGAGGATAGCCCAGCCCTGTGGCTTCTGCTTTCCCCAGCCCCATTGCCCACCCCCCACCCTTAACCACTTCGATGCCTGTTTCCCTGAGATGAAAGAAAAGGAATCAAACAAGCCCTTAGTTTTGCTAGCCATGGGAGAGAGCAACCAGCTAGAGTGGGGTTAGACATACACAGTGACTTTGAATTGTTCATGTTTTCTTGGAATTGCTGGTTTCAGTAACCCTGCTTCACCATTCAAATACCATCTCTAGGGGCCCAGCAGGATTTAGTGGGGCTCATGCAGTAGTGAGTGGGTCCCAGACACCCTGGAAGAGCCTGTGGACCAGCAGAGCTGTAGCATGACCCAGACAGTCAGAACGGGTGCATACCTGGAGAGATGCGGGAACGACTCAGCTGGGGTGGGCTTGGGGGATAAGGAGGTTGGCCCTTCGGAGCTGCCTCTGAACTGTTTTCCAAAGGCAGCTGAAGTTAGGGGGTCTGTGGGTGTCAGAAGGGCAGTAGGAGCCTGACAACAGACACGCCCCAGATTCTCTCTGGGGTAGTGCTTAAAAACACCATCCCGCCTCCTGCGCCTTCTCCTACTCTGCCTCCTCCAACATTGTGCCTTTTCTTTGCTTCTCTGTTTAGGATGAAGGATACCAGCCGCAAGAACAACATGTTTGCACAGTTTCGGAAAAACGAGCGAGACAAGCAGAAATTGATTGACACTGTGGCCAAGCAGCTCCGGGGACTCATCAGCAGCCACCACTCGTGAAGCCTGGCCGGGAGCCCCACAGGCGCTCGCTGCGGCCCCGCAGCCTGGGATCCGGCCCGGCTGGCCTGCATTTGTGCATTCTTCTTCAAAGAGAGCATATGTATTTTTTTATTAACTCCTGTACAGTATTCACATAACCTTTCCCTGCAGTAAGAGGTGTAAGAATACGCGCGTCTGTGAGATGTTGCTGGGCTGGGACTCAGGGGAAGTTATCACTGTGCTCTCTGCGTTATGATTCTGGAGAGGGGGTGGGGTTGTCAGTCCCAGGGTGATGCACTGCCTGTTGTCCATGGCTCAGGAGCTTCGAGCTGGGCTCAGGAACGGCACAGGTACTTGGCACTGGGAGGCAGAGAGTAAGCCCAGGAGAAGGCAGTGTGTCCTGTCCACTCTCGGGCACCCCCGTTCCCCGCACAGCTGAGGCTGCCGCTGCTTGCCCAGCATTCACGGCCATGTCACACGCTGCAGGCCAGCGCACCGTGCTGGAGGAGCTTCTCTTTAGGCGGCTGACTTCCCCGGGCTGGGGGACAGGCATGGCGCGCGGCCGGGGGCAGCTTCCCTCCAGTCCCCTGAGGATGGCAGTTTCTGTAGCCTCGGTCTGTCCCGAGGCTTTCACTGCTCATTTTTCTGCGGGCAGGATAGCGTTGAGTAGGCGGCGGCAGCAGTCGGACGCCGTGGTTAACTGCAGGCTGCCCCTACACTAGGCATATTGGGCCGCAACCCTAGGAGTTTTCCGAGCTCTGTAAGCCAGCTGGAATGGAATCAAAGCCCCGGTGCCTTTTCCTTTCATCTCATTTCCTTCTTTCAAAGCCTGAGCACTCGGTCCAGGGCAGAGGTCAACAGTGTACCGGTGCTCTTAGGGAGCCCCAGACTTGGCCTCTGCGGCCACTGAGAGGGGCTGGTGAGCAAGGCCCGAGCTCAGGAGCCTGAACGTGCCCCGCTTTAGCCTGCAGGGAGGCCTAAGGAGTACTGGAGATGGCCCCTGTGAGCTTTGAAACCAGTTTCCTGGCCACCATCTTTGAAGGAACGGGCATCGGCTGTGCACTGTGGGGGTGGCCACGGCTGGACTTGATGTTCCTAGGGACAGAGCTGCTGTCACCCTGAAGTAGCCAGGCCCAGCCATGCTCGAGGTTTCTCGCCTCGGACACCACTGTCCCGCGCTGCATTCTGGGTTATACGATCACGGAGCTCGAGCGCAAGGCTCTGTCCCCGGAGCCCCTCCTGACTACCTTTTGGCCTCACCTGAGGAAGACTGCCTGTAACCCTGTCCCCCACTGCCTGGGGCCTGGGCCAGCTTAGCTTGGCGGCCGTGTCCGCTGTTCCAAACGTAGTCCCCAGACTTACGTAAGGACTTTGCGACGAGGCCAGTCAGGGCAGCCTGCACCTTCAGACCCTTCAGCAAGATGCTGCCATGGCTCCTGGCAAGAATGTAAGTGCACATCACCAAACAATGACACGTAAGCTGCACAGCTCTCCCAGGGCGGTCAGTGGGGGAGACCTTCTTGCACAGCGTTTCCACTGCTCCTGTCAGTACTGCGAGCTTCCGGGGGCACTCTACTTCCTTTTTCCCTCTGCAGCCCCTAGCTTCACCCCATCCTCTCACATCTCAGAAATCTTGGGGAAGAAAACACACACTCACTGATAGAGCCTTCCTCAAAGCTGGAGAGAGCAGGCTGTGTGCGACACTCAGGCACCTGCTTCGGCCCAGCCTGAGGACTAGGCAGTCGGCCCAGGGTCAAGGGTAACATGGTCTCCCCGAACTTGGCAAGCCGAAGGAAGGCAGGGGTGCATGGGAAGGAAACCCGCGCCAGCGTCTCCAGGCCCTAGACTTCGTTGAGAAGAGTGAGAAATGTTCCAGTAGTGAGTCCTCTTGCTTGAGGTGGACTAAACGCCCTCCTTCCTAGCACCCAGTTTGCAGCAAGGGCCCGTCAGCTGGAAGGGCTGAGACCTTGACGTGGGGAACGAGGAGCTTCAGCGTGTGGTGGGGCTTTCATTCTTAGGGAGTCGTTATTGCTGGTCCGATCTCAGCCTTCTGCCCTGGAAGAACTGTGCTGTCGAGAACAAGGTGGAGAGGGTGGAGGGTCGGGGCCGCTCTGCACCTGCACCGGGGAGTCCTCCTGAAAGAGAAAGCCGGCTAAGCTCATGGCTCCTAAGAAAGGGCCCCGACTGTGTCCCGCTCCTCTCTCAGTCTGTCTGCAATCTTCCTTAACAACAGCCAACATGCTGCTACTGAGTTGGGTGTAGAGATGTACTCTTAGCAGGCCAGGGAAGGTCAAAACGGAGACCAGCAACGTCAACGCATCTTAAAGTGGGGTGAGGTGAGATGATTACTTTATTCTTTTTAGTTTGTCTATAAGCCTATAGGCTGGCCATCCCTTGAGAGGACTGAGCAAAACATGGATGCCCAACACCCCTCACCCTCCCCAGATCTGGCTTCAAGTGCCTACAGATGTGATGTGCCCTGAGAGCCTCAGTCAAGGGGGGGATGGGAGATGGGAAGCCCCCCCGCCTTCTAGTCACCGTGAACCTGTGGTCAAGTTCTTGGAGAACCCATGTCCATGTTCCAAAAGGGACAATCTGATTTGGGACCCTAGTGGTTTTCAGTAGTCACATAGGTGTTGGCATAGTTTTAACGTTCATAGGAAAACCAGACTGTATGTGAAGCTACTGGGGGTGGGGAAAACAGGACCTGGAAATTGGATGCAGTTGGAGAGGCCCTGTTGGCAAAGGGCATGTGAGCTTCCAGGGAGTGCTTCCCAGTGTTTCCATTGCACACTGGGCCTAGTGGCCTCCCAGTTCTTGCTGTAGCCTGGCTTCATTGCACACTGGAGTGCTCGCTCAGCCAGTCCTAGACCCAGGGCGCTTTGTCCCGCAAGATCGGTGTTGCCCGTGGCCTTCCTCTCCAGGCCTCCCAGCACAGTGCCCGGGGGCTGTGACAGGAGGCCTCCCCTCTTACTCTTCCTCCTCCCAGGCCCCCAGACTGCTTCAGTTGCCTCTTTTTGGTTCCTTGCCTGCATTCACACTTTTCACTAATGCGTCGGAAATGGCCTTTTCATTTTGCACACATGGATGTACATTGATTGGGAAAATCCAGTAAAGTCCGCTTTTAACTCTAAAGGGCACGTTTTTCTCTACAACTCACTAGAGAAACTACTGACGCAGATGGGCCGTGTGGGTAGGGGACAGTTCCTCTGTGGAAAGAGCATGTTTATTCCCTTGTATATTTTCCTCTTTTACCTGCTATTAAACGAGAGAGCCTACATACCTGTTTCAAAAGCCACAGTGTTGTCTCACGGGTCGTTTGTCCTTCCATGCCTTTTGCACCGTGCAGCTGGGGTTGGTGAGCTGGGCGGCACTCGTCTGCCGGAGGACGGGAGCAGGGAGCAGCCTGGTGGGGAGGAAAAAGCCTGCTTGCCACACAGGCAAGGCGCTTTGTGGTGGCCTTGGAAATGCCCTTAGCCTCTGGGTAAGATTTTCCTGTCTGTACAGTTAACCCTGACACCAGCATCATCAAAAGGGGTGATGTGTCTGATCTATGCTGAGTACTGGGCTAAGCAACCTGGGACTCAATGTGTTTTGAACACCAGTCCCACTGGTGCCAGGCTCCCAGCCAAGAGGAAGTGATGTGGGATCACCCAGAACACAGCTGGTCTAGGGAAGAGGGAGAGAGGAGCCTGGGGGAAAGCCCAGTTGCGGGAGAGGTGCGGGCATCCTAGCCTGGTACAGGAAAGGGTCCGAGCAGGGAAGATGGCTCGGAGACGGCGGGATGTGAATTAGCTGGTCGTTGAAGGAATTCAGTTCAGACTTTATGGTGCTGTAGGAATAGTTGAGGTACACACCACATCAGAGTGCAAAGTGGGCTCAAGCCCGGTAAATGCTGGCAGGATAGTGAAGAACCTGCAGGGTGCATCTGGAACCATGGTGAATAAGACCAGAAAAGTCAGTGCGGCACCGGCCAGCACGCTTGCCCCTCAGGCTGACACAGAAGCCGAGAAAATAGGCTAGGATGTCTTCGTAACGAGCCTGACTACCGCAGCCGGGCTTGGATGCCAGCAAGGCCTGTGCTTCCACCTCTGCAGTGCCACGAACTAGCTCATGGCCTTGAACAATTACCTAACCAGCTCCCTAAGTCTCATAATCCCATGGGCGAAAGCAGAATGATAGTCCCTAACTTGGACGGCGCTTATGAAGTGCGGATGAGCTGCAGAAGGCCGGGCGACTTCTCCAGCAGGACCGAAGCACAAGCACCATTGAAGCTCCCTTCCTCCCTGGCCGCGGACTCCACAGCGCACTCACGGCCAGGCATTGGCCCAAAGTATCTAGAGCTGCTCTGGCCCCTGGCTTCCTGTCCCAAATCCAATGCAGGGTTGCTGGCCACACTGCCCTTTGAGCACCTGTTTGAAAGAGACTGCCTTTCCCATCAGCCAGCCAGCTGCCCGGCTCAGAGGAGACCCGGGCCTTCCTGTGGCTTCTGCTCCTCAACAAACCGTCTGGAATCTTCTCTGGTCTCACTTTGGAGCCAAAGCGTTTACCTGCTTCCAGAAGTCAGGAGTTCTTACGGGGGTCCAAGAATGTGTGTGTGTGTGTGTGTCTGTGTGTGTGTGTGTGTGTGTGTGTGTGAGAGAGAGAGAGAGAGAGAGAGAGAGAGAGATGCATGCCTGTTTGCACAGGCTTGAATCCACCCCCTTTGTTTCTGGAAAGAAAGTTCATGGTTTTGATCAATGTTTGAGAAAGATTCATGGCCAAAATACTGAGTAATAACCAATCCCTTGGGAATTGTGTCCCCATGAGGGGAAGCCAGAAGCTCTGAGCTGTTACCTCCTCTCCCTGCTGCACAGAGCTCTGGCAGGTGCCTCTCTGCCACCCACCTGTTCTAGAAGCCTCCACCTGAGCCCCGGGTCGGCAGAGAGGCTGTCAGGGCCTCTGCTTCTCGCCTTCTTCTCACCAGGTTGGGGTACCTGGCGGGGTGGGGAGCAGGGGGACTCTGAGCTCTTGAGAATATGGAGGCTTCCAGCTGCTGGGGACTGCCACAGCCAAACTGAACCTGACCCACCCAGAGCGTTTCCCACAGCCTCTGAGCCCTGTTACAGCTGCTGGCCTGAAGCCGCCCTATCCAGAGAGGGACCAGCAGCCCTTGTGGGGGTGTTCTGGGGGGGACATGTGGGGGAGAGGCTGTGAAGCAGCCCCCAGCCCGCCCCTGTTCTCACAGCTGGGCTGCTTATCTGCTCAGATGAGGGTGGGGGAGAACTCTAGGCGATAAGAAGAGGGAGGGAGAGAAAGAGCCCGACCATTTCCCCAGAGCCCTCTTTTGAATTTAATGGGCAGCATTTGCAGGGGGGGTGGGGGGAACGAGAGCGCCTCTGTCCCAGGGGACCCGAAGACAAAGGCCCTGGAGGAAATGCACGGAGGAGGAGAGACGTGAGGGCCGCCATTGTGTGGGAGAGCTGCCCCTCTATCTGTTTCCATCGCTGAGGGGGCTAGGGTTACCCTGCATTTGGGGCCTCAGCTGCCTTGCGGGGGGTCTGTGACATCAGCTCTTGTGATGGTAATGGACGGGGCTCTTTCACAGGGGGCGCCCCTTCCTTGGCCAGCCCACACCAGCTCCCACAGGGGCTGGACACGCCTGCGTCTCTCAGGGTGGGGGCCCAGAATTGGACCCAAGACAACAGCCCCCCACCCGGCCCGAACCCACTGCTGAGTGTCCCTTCCAAGCCCAAGCTCTGCCCTTCCTCTCTCCAGCACTCCAGAAAAGGACTGGAATCTGAACATTGAGACGCTGTTCTGGCCCGGAACAATCCTCTCATTCTCTCGGCTCAATGATGGGTCTATTTCCTCTGTAAATGGGTCTCGTAATCTTCAACTTTTACCTTTGCTTCTAAGGGTAATTAATTGGCTCTCCCTCTTGTTCGCCTCACACACTCCCCTCTCTGTTACTAGGCTCAGGTTAAGCTGGGTGGATGCTTTTCTTTCTTTCTATTCCACGGGGCGCTTCTGTTTAAAGCTGATGGAGAACGGGCCTGCTCTCTCCCGTGAGCCCCTTTTCCAGGGAGGCCCGCTGGGCCACGCCACTTGCATGGTGTTGAAAGGGCCCGAGAAGCACTCTCTCTCTTCTTCCCTTCGGACCACTCTGCAAAGTTTTAGGGAAGAAAGAGTTGTCAGATAACGCTCTCAGAAGCCAAGTGGACGGTTATGTGTGATCTGGACACTGGGGACAAAGCTGCAGAGGTGGGCATAGGAGAAATTAAGATCAAAGGGCCTCTTTTTTCATTTTTATTTTTTAAGCAAGCTGAAGAGAAGCAGTAAGGCCTCAGGTGCGGGGCAGCATGGGGTTAGCAAGGTAAGAGGGGTGAGGACAGGATCCGTCCAGGGACTGCTGGACGAGAGGCGGATGTGCGAGGTGGGTCAGGCAAACAGAAGTTGAGTCCCAAAGAGACTGCGGACTCCTAGCTGACTGCGGCCTTGTCTGGTGCTTGTGCTCCGTGATGAGCTTGTCAAGAGCAGGAGCAATGTCTGAGTCCGTGGCCGCTCCTCAGCCCATGAATGGCACTCGTGACCCAGTGAGTCACCTTTACGGTAGGGACAATCGCGCACTGAGCGGGGAGGCTGTGGCAGCACCACTCCCTGCAAGGGATCTTTGGTCACTGGCATTGTTTAGGGTTGCTGACGTATGGTGGAAAATAAAAAGCAAACCAAGTTTTTGATCTGTCCTTTGTAGACGCATGCACCACCCCACTCGTTCTGCTAGCCTGTAGGGAACAGGTTGATAACAAGAGTCAGGAGAGACCAAAGTAGCAGTTTAGTTCATGGAGTGTAGGTTTAGTCCTGTGGTGGTTGTGAAAGCACTTGTGTGTGTGTGTGTGTGTGTGTGTGTGTGTGTGAGATGTGGGGCAGGGGGAGTGGCACCCGACACACTCAGGGCTTTCCCCACCGAACCCTAATCCCATTTTCTATGTCTCATCCCTGTTAACTGTAGGATGATCATCTTTCAGATTATTGTTAGTTTGTATGCAGCAGTCTCACAAGAAATTATACTCATAGTTTTAATTTTTCACTTAGTTTATCTTGTGTCTTCCATGATAACAGAGAATTTCTTCATCCTTTATGAAACTCATGACCAATTTTCATTGCATGAACATACCAAGTGTTTATTAACCAGTTCTGAATTAACAAACATTTGGAATGTTATGAGCATTTCATTATGATAAACAATATGGTGGGCTCTTTGTATATTTCTTTGCCCACTTGCTTAGGTATTTCTATAGCATAAACTTTCTGGAATGGAATTGATTGATTGGTTAAAAGCTCTACATATATTGAGTTAGGAATTTCTTTGAGAATCACCAATTTCCACTCCGTCCAATGAGACGCAAAAGTGTATCCTCAGCCCTAAGTTATATCCATGTTTGCATCCTTGTCAATCATAAAAGTGAAAAATGACTTCTCTTTGTCCTAATTTATAGTCCTGCAATCTGTAATCAGTGTAAGCATCTGTTTTTATTGTTTTTTTTTTTTGGTCACTTGTATTCCCCCTTCTGTGAGCTAGTTATCCTAATAGTCTGCCTTTTAAAAAAAAAAAAAATTAAGTTGTATTCTTTTTCCTATGGATTTGTAGCTCTTTGTTTAGGGATTTTATTTCTTTGTCATATGCATTGCAAATATTTTTCCAGTTTGTCTTTTGAGTTTGTTCACGGTCCATATCAATTGAAACTATTTTTCAGGTTATAAAAAAACCCACCTCAGTAAAGGAGATTTATTGACTGAAAGTCCAAGGGTATTTCAAGGTTAATTTGATTCAATGACTAAAAAATGTCAAGGTCCTGTTTTCCTTTCTTGCCTCTCCGGGGCCTTTTCTGGCCATAAGGGCGTCCTGCATCTCACTTCCCCAGTGGCTCAGCGGCTGCTGTGTGTGCAGGATTCACATCCCCATAGCGCTGCAGCAACAGGCTGGCTGCTAGCGGCCCTCCGAGAAAGCAAGGGGCTGTCTGCCCCCGAGCTCCCGCTGGATAAAGCCCTAAATTGGATTACAGGTCGGTCGTTCTGGGCAGGAGCATGGCGAGGGTTTGCTGCTTTGACCACGGTTACCTGAACCAATCACTGTGGCAGGGGCAACAAGATTACCCTGGGAGCTTGAAACACCCCTGACATCTGCAGTAAGGGGGCGTGAATGCCCGCCCGCAGCGCCCGGCGGTTGGGGGTTGAACCCACAGCGCCGTCTGCACCGCGCACGAGGGTCTCCATCACGTTCCCAGACTCTCCTCGGTCATGTTTGGATTTCAGGGC